TATCATCAATGGCTCTTGCCCTTTCCTCCTCAAATGATGGTGAAATAATGGATGCTTCTCTCAGTAAATATACGTGGTTGCGGGCCGAAGTTGAGGAACCAGTTTTGGACATCTCTTCATTTTCGTTTTCAATTTTTCCTCGTCCTCTGCATGGGCCGGAACAAAAGAGTTCCACGATGAGGCAGTATCAGTGCTATATGACTCATGAAAAGAGCTTCTCTTCGAGTACCTCTTATTTCTATAGAGCGTTCGTTGTGTGTGTAGCCAAACGTTGTCATGGAGGCTGCCTCGATCACACCACTTATAGTTATTCCGGCACCCTTTGTCTTTCTGGATTTTTTTTGTCAGTATCGCGAATATGAGTGAACTTTTCCGCGCTTCTATAGAATCGCCGGCTCATGTTTCCTTCGGAATGTTGTAATCCTTCGCATGGTGAGGTTGTGAATGGTCTTCGTTCTTTATGCATTTCCCTCCACCCTGAAATCATCGGAGCCGTCTGTAGCACTGAGCTCCCAGGACTATGACTCAAACGGTGCCATAATGAAGAGTTGGGGCTCCATCAGAGACCTTAGAGTTCTCACAGACTCCTGTCCCAAATTTCAACTCGCAAGTTTGAGAGTAGGTTAGTAGTTTATTCACGTGACTAATAAACCGTACAACTTAACTTTTGTTTCTCACCGGGACCCACTTCACAGGCGAAAGGACTGGTGATTAAATAAATAGATAAATGTGTGTCACATCTGGAAGAGTTGGTGGATCTCAATATTCTATTTTCATTTAGATGCTGCTCGGAGTCTCTCATAGCATTTGTCGTGGTTTCGTTCCCCATGTTTAGAAAAAAAAACTGTAGTTTTCTCTGCAATTACTCTCTCTCAATCGAGCCGATGCGATTTTTTTCTCCCAGCGGGCGGCAATTTCTACGAACGCTGCCAGCTGACCGGCTCCTGAAGATAATCTGGCAATCATCATTTCTTTTATGAGTTGTAAAGTGTCCAATATATCCGTGCATACTCAAAGAGTCGCCGCCCTATGAAGTTTGCGAGCATACCAAGAAAGTGTGTGGGTGGATGGACACCATAGCACCACGCACCTCCACCAGCAATTTGTTGGAAGTTTTTCAGGATAAGAAATCCGCGACACTTCGGACAAATAATTCTAGACAGGAACACAAGCACTTTCCTGAGTTTCTGATCGCTGACTATTGAAGTGTTTGGAAAGATTTCAGCACACCGGTGAAAACAGAATTTTTGCGAAAAATTTTGTAACTTAAAATTCAACCATGGACCAAACTACTCTCCAACACAGTTTGTACTTCAGGATTTCACGATTTTTTTTCCTCAGAGGAAGTGGGTTGTTCCATTCGTGTTGCAGCGGCACTCAGAATTTATTATTTCCTAGTTAGTAAACGCGATGTAAAGGCAGAACTCCCAGGTCAGATCGATTATGGTCCACATCGGAGAGCAAAAAGGCACGTTCCGGCGATGTGAAGTGTTTTCCCGTGCTGGCTCTTCTCTTACACATACGCCTCTGCCTCTCCTCTGTTTGGACCATGGTGCAGGGTCTTCTAAAAACATGTCGCTAGTTCTTTTGAAAAGCCTCCATTTCTGCCCACCATGGACTGAACCTCCCCGGGCGGATGTTGCAAACGTAACGCTGCTAACGATGCCACACCAGCATAGATGTAATGTCATGCTTTTCCTGATCCCTAGCAGCCTCATCGGAAAATATGAGCTATACTGCTATGCATGAGAGCCCTCCTCATTAGCAGGATTCAAAACACATTCCACTTCCCAGATGCTGGTCACTGTTGTTTTTCCGGTCATATTTTAGAAGGGCAGGCGCTACTTCCCTTGGGCGGGGGAAAGACACTTTTGTGAATTCCCGTGAGCATAGCGAAAATAATATGAACTGTGATACGTAGTGAAATGATGCCGGTTTCTTGTAGCCCACTGAACACATAGCGGTTGAACACTGCAACAAACAACTAAGTTTTAGTGCTGGCACCCTCTTGCCGCTGGCGAAAAATTTTGCAAAATGCAACTTCCCCCCCCCCTTGAAATTTCTCCTCTAGTTCGTCCCTTCCCCGTCTCAACTACCCCAGTTTCTCTGAAGTTTCAACCGCGGGGGTGGGGAGAGGGAGGGCTTCAAGTTACAGCATCGTGATGTGTGAAATGGTGGTGTCAGTATACGTATCAGTACAACCTCTCCCCTTCCCCAACACCTACCTACCACAAGTTCCCAACTTCCTACCAGGTTTTCCAAAATTTCCCACATTTTCCAGTTTTTTACCCAAAGATTTTCCATCTAGCGGGAGAGGGGGACAGGGGATAAATAGCATATGTGAACGGGAAAAACCGCGAAAAGTCAACAACCGAGAAAATTTTTTCCCAACGCAGATTTCTCTCCCTCTCTCCCAACAACGACCAAATACGACCCCCGCCTCCCCAGCGGCCAACTGCGACCCCCCCCGTGTGTTTCACCCAACGATGCTGTACCCAGTCGGCTTACCAGCACGTTGTACATTTAGCTTCCACTTGTACTCCAGAAGTGTCTAGGGGCAAGCTTGACTTGTAAAGACTTTAACCTTGAACTGCCCACTACTCCCGCCACGAAAATGGGTACTTTGAAAGGGAAGTTTGCCTGATTTGGATGAAGTGTGGTCTCTCAGTCCTACCGTGGTGAAGCGGCTATTCCTACCACCTTAGTTATCTCACTCAATCAGTGAGTGTGATTGCATGAAAGTTGAAATGTTCAACAAAACAACTTTCCCTACTTATTTTGCTTATTTTGAGTCGATGACCTCTCAAGTAACAAAGCTGTCATTGTCATGTGAATTCTTCTTATCCAGTTACTGCCTTAGAGTAGTAACAATTAACGGTGCTAACGTATTTGGGGGGGGGGACCACGCGGCTCGCGGCGTGCGATGACTCATCTGCTCTTCTGCTCCCTCCTCGGCAAAATAGAAGTAATTTTGTGTTTAGGACATGGATATAACACCGACCTAGCTATATTAATACAGTAACGCTAAAAAGTCCGAAGAAACAGTTGTGGGCTGGAAGATTTTTGAATCAACTACAAAATTTTGTTGCCTGTTTGTTGTTGACTGTTATTGTTGACTACAAAAGATCAAACATTTGTTTTCGGCTTCCGTGGGATTTCTCAGCAAGTTCCCGGTGAACCTTGTTTGTTTTATTCTAATTTGACTGCTAGAATCGCGCTTCAAGTATGCCGATGAGTGAAGAGCCGATGAGTCATCACTCGCCGCGCGCCGCGTGGTCCCCCCCCAAATACGTTAGCACCCAATTAACCGTTCGTTTCTAGCTGATACTGGACCTTCAGGCTGATCAGGGACTATCTAGGCGTCTCAGGGCACTTGTCAACTGCGAAGCCTGTCTTCTGCTTCGCAGAGCCTTCCTCCTCCTTCCTTTTTTAACTCCTTCCTTCTTTTCCTTATTCCTTCTCTGTTCCCTCCTCCTTTACCTTCTCCCTTCAACTACTGGACTAGTAGATGCCTCAAGAAAATACCCCTGGACCCTCGCAGCGAGAGCACGTCTGGTTGACAAGTGCCCGTAACCCTATTTAGGCATAACAGGAAATTCCCTGCTAGCAACGCGGCCGCTCAAAATCAGGGGCACGTCGTACACTGGGGATCCCTAGCGAGGAAACAGTATCTGGACGGCGGAGGGAGAGACTGGGAAGGTGGCCGTGTTAGCTTCAGAGAGATTTCTTGGTTTTGAGGTCTTTCCATTTTCCCGTTTCACGGGAGCTATACTTTCCGCCGCTCGGCCGCTGGTTTTGAAGAAAGGCTAGAGAATTTCTCCAGGGGAGTGATAGAAAGTTGAGAGAGTTTAAGAACATGGTGGGTAGGTTGGAAGATGGGAAGGGGTAAAGGGGATTGAACCATAGGGGGAATTTTGAGAGGAGGGACCATGATTTGTTAATTCTAAAAGACGCTGATATCATTTGGGAGCGTAAATATCGTTCGCATCGTTGGGCATTAATGTGCGAGGATACCTTTTACCCCCCCCCCGCTCCCCACCCCTTCCCGCCCTAGGAAAATAGTGCCAAACTCATATCAGGGGACAGAATCGTGATGTGTGAAATGGTGGTGTCAGAACACCCCCCCCCCCTCAAAGGAGGGTCTCGTTACGACTCCCTCCCTTTCCCAACACCTACCTACCGCTGTCCTACAAGTTTCCAGCTTCCTACCAGTTTTTCCGAAATTTCCCACAGTTCCCAGTTTTTTAACCAAAAATTTTCTGTCGAGAGGAAGGGGTGAGTGTAACCAATGTGAAACGGGAAAAACCGCGAAAAGTCAACAACCGGCAAAAAATTTTTCTCAACGCGGCAGATCCCTCTCGAAGGCACATACAGCCCCCCCCTAGCGGCCGAGCACGACCCCCATCTGCTTCACGCAACGATCTGTACCCTGGATCGTATGGTTGTCGAATCTTCGTATGTCACGTTCGACTGGATGCTTTCACACATTCATTGAATCTTGTTCCAGTGTGTCTTTCGCGATGATTCCAATAAAATTTTACTATTACATATCACATCTTGAGAAAGAAACGGGTAGGTATGATATCCTAAAACGAAAATACATTCTGTCATTTTCAAAACGCCTAGTCTTGTAGTTAATGAACGTAGAAGCCATTATATTATGATGAAGGGAAAAAACACACACACTTAAAGGCACCGTTTAAGAAAAGCTACGGACGCAAGACAGCCGACTGGATATCATATGAGAGGTTAGCAGAGACTCGCAAAAGTGATTCAATTTCTCATCAAATACAAATACATCTATTGAAATGACAATACAATATACATTTTCATCAACATAAAAGTTATCACTGAATTATTCAACGAAGGCGCGGTGATTGGGATAGAAAACTGAGAAGGAAAACGTGACGTGTAGAAGTGAAATCAGTGAGTTGTTTTTCAAAATAATAATATAATAATAGTAGAGCGAAAGAAAATTCGTGAAAAACATATGAGACCCATCATTTCGGGTGCATAAATAAAGCACCGGCAGCATACGAGACGGACGAATCGTTGACACTCCTTGCCTGAAATCCCTTTCATTAACTTGCAGACTTTCGAAAATCAAAGTTGCTTGATCCCCTAAGACAGTCTACGGTAATGAAATGGCGGACATGGCGCTCAACGTTTGAATCGGGGAATGGAAACCGTAATTCTCCAGCTTCTCTTTTCTTGCAACCTCGGCATTATAGATGTAAGTTCTCAACTTGTTTTGTGCCTTACGAGGTTGATAGGTGGAACTATTTATTCAATATGGCCTAACGTTTCGACTGAATCGTCGTCATCAGAGGCCTGAATGTGTTTCAAGGATTGGATTACGCTCTCTGCTAGAGGTGACGGGGCGCTTGGTAACATTTCGGAGATGCACGTAACGCTCTGTCATCCTTCAGCTCGCAGTGCGGGATAAAAGGCAAGAGGTCAAGAAAAGCACTAAAAGCGTTCTGGATTTTCG